AGCAGGAACATCTCAAACATTTCCAGTCAACCAATGTAATGCTGAATGTTTATCAAAATATACTAAGCTAATTGCTTCAAAATTTAGAGAGAAATCCGGCATTTTACAGATACCTTCTCTGTAAGGATTGAATGTTGACTGCAATGGAGACTGAAGTAACTGGGCATAAGATTGCCCAGTAAAATTTTTATCAACAGTTGTGCTACTTATGTATACAAGAATGAAATACGGTCATGACAGTCTTTTGTGGACTACAGCCAAGCTTATGGCACAATAAGTCTGCTAGTTTTTAATGGGCCAGAATTAGCTTAGCAAACCTAGGGAAATTATTACCAGCTGCAAAGAAACAACAGTTTCTTCTCACAATACATGTGTGTAATTAGCCTAATAAAGTTAGGAGGCCATTACCACCACCAATTCCTGTACTTATGTACAATCCCAAGCTCCTTGTGTGTAAAGGGGTCACCTGTTGTAGCAAAATAAAACAAGAGTCCAGTTGCTAGTCTTAAGGCGTCACCTGACCTTAGCTTTATTCTTGTAGGTATACGTTTGACTGTTAAATACATTTGCAGGGAAGTTTTATCACAGAAGAGAGTTTGATGTGAACACCTGCTTCCAATTCGAAGTAGTCCAGCCCAGGACCAGGTTTACCACTTCAGTGAGACTTAGGCTTCAATTAAAAAAACTGAGAAATGAAAATGGGTAGTCAAGTGATGTATTGTACAACTTACTTGATTCCGCTGAGGTGCATAATACTCAGAACAATGGTTGCCTTGATAAAGAAGAGAATAAAAAAATCCACCATCTCTGCTATAAACCTGTGAGCCAAGGACGGGATAACAAATTCGCGACCTGTGTTTTTAAAAAAAGATTATACAATTCTGTGTAAATGTTTCAGTGCAAAACGCATAGCTCAAAACAACAATTCTCCACACCATGTAAGTAAGAGCTTTACTAGGTATTGTTACATCAACCGTTGCACCCCTTTCCAGCCTACTGCAACTGATGCAATCTTGCACTCATCTGTACCACGCAAACCACACTGGACTCATTTTACCACACAATATTTATTGTGGTGAGTAACAGTTGCCTCCAAGCAGCCAGGTATGTCATCACCGCTGCAGGGACAGAGCCACGCATAAAGTTACTGCAGTATTACCTTATGTTACATAGTTGGGGCCCCACTGTAAAACACAAGGCAGGACTATGGAGAACATAAAACACAGGAAGACTCCTGTCCTGTGGGGTCAGACCCACAGTCCATCTAGCCAGGTGATTTCAGGAAGCCACATACAGGACATGAAAGCAACCGCTCTCTCCTGCTGTATGCCCCGAGCAACTTCACTTCAGAGATACAGTGCCTTTGAATATGGAGGTTCTATTTAGCTATCATGACCCACACCCACTGGTAGACCAAATCCTCCGTCAATTACCCCCATTACCTTTTAAAGACAAAGACAAGAAGGAGCAATGAGGCAGAGAGCATCCTCCTGACCAGTTATTTACTGGTTTTGTAAACTATGCTCTGTCTGATTTTATAACAAAGACTGGCTGAAAATGACATAACAGTGTATTTTTCAAAAACCAAACGCAATCAAGAAAATTACAGAGACCCTTCACAGTTCACTGCAAGTTACTATTGCAAAAGATGTCCGTATTTCTCTTGATTATGTATGAGTTTTACTTAATCACATCTCATCCTGTGCTTCCATGGCTCTTTGACCCTGCTGTTCACAGTGTTTTTCTTCACACCCACATATGGCCCCTAGTCCACAAAGGGCAATGCCAGAAAAACAGACTAATCAGCACAAATTAATTCCCTGTTTATTTATCACTGCAGTACAGAATACCAGGACCACCACTCTGGCCATTTTAAGGAAATTTTACAGTTTGGCTAGTAGCACTTGCCATTGCTATTATTTATGGTGCAGTGGGTAAGAGTGCCAGACTACTATCTGGAAGGCCCTGGGTTTGAATCCTGGCTTGTGTCACGGAAGCCTGCTGGGTGACCTTGTGCTAGTCACTCTCACAGCCTAGCCTACCTCACAGGGTTGTTTTGAGAATAAAATGGAGGAGGAGAGAATGATATAAGCCACTTTGGGCCCCCACTGGGGGGGGGAAGGCAGGGTATAAATGAATTAAATGTTATTTGTAAGCCGGTGTGGGTGCGAGATAACAGAAAGATCAAGATGGGTCACCATGTTAGTTTGCCTGTAGCAGGTAAGCTTTAAACACTAGCAAAATTTGTGGCAGGGCAGGAGCTTTCAAGAGTTGTGAGCGGGGCGGATTAAGGCTCACTGGTGCCCTAAGCACTGACCAATCTTGGTGCCCCCCCTCCTTTCCACACTGACCCAGTCCATTTTAGTTGTTGACCTGTCTGACCAGATATACAATGCAGGTTGCAGCAATACAAAAATTTATTCATAGGATAACACAATAGACTGTACAAACTAAGCTTTTCACCCTTTTCCCATCCGTGTGGTGCCCCCTTTGGCCCTGGTGCCCCTAAGCACGTGCTGAGTCTGCTTAATGGTTAATCCGCCCCTGGTTCTGAGTATCTAAAGAAGCAAGCCGTGACTCACGAAAGCTCCTGCCCGGCCACAAATTTGGCTAGTCTTTAAGGAGCTACTGGACTCTTGCTTTTGTCTACTACTAGATAGCTGCAGTGGCTCAAGTGGTTAAGACGCTGAACTGCAGGCTGTGGAAGGTCGGTAGTTCAGCAGTTCGAGACCCGAGTGTGCCGCATGACGGAGTGAGCTCCAGTCTCTAGTTCCAGCTCCTGCCAACCTAGCAGTTCGAAAGCAAGAAATTCGAAAGCAGTTCGAAAGCAAGAAATCGGTGGGAAGGTAACCGCGTTCTGTGCGCCTCGGTGTTTAGTCATGCCGGCCACATGACCACGGAAACGTCTTCAGACAGCGCTGGCTCTTCGGCTTTGAAACGGAGATGAGCACCGCAACCCTAGAGTCGGACTCAACTGGCTTTCGAGCAAGGGAACCTTTACCTTTACTAGACAGCAAAGAAGCAAGGCGTGAAACTTTAAAATGTACAGATCAAGATGGGTGGCCGTAAGGTAAATGAATTTATATGTATTACCAAATAATTAAAAGAAAAGACTAACAAAATTTGTGGCAGTGTAGGAGCTTCTGAGAGTCATATCTGAAGTAGTGAGCCATGACTCATGAAAGGTCCTACACCCTGCCACAAATTTTGCAAGTCTTTAAGGTGTGAAACTTTGAAATGTACAGATCAAGACCGGCAGCTGTGTTAGCCTGTCTGTAGCAGCAGAAAAGAGCAAGGGTCTGGTAGCACCTGAAAGACGAACAAAAATTTTGGCATGGTAGGGGCTTTCGAGGGTTGTATCTGAAGCACTCACAAAGGCTCCTGCCCCCTGCCACAAATTTTGCTAGTCTTTCAGGTGCTCCGGGACCTTGCTCTTTTCTACCACTAGACAGCAAAAAAGCAAAGCATGAAACTTTGAAATGTACAGATCAAGATGGGTGACCGTGTTAGCCTGTCTGTAGCAGACTAATTAGCTGTGCAGTGACTCACAAAAGCGCTTACCCTGCCACAAATTTTGCTAGTCTTTAAGGTGCTACTGGACTCCTGCTCTTTCCTGCTACTATACAATCCAAGAAAAACAATCATAACCAGAATTACTAATGCAATCCTTATTTCTATTAAATAAACAGTTACAGTCAATACAATACAGTTAAGTCACTTTTAAGACTATACCTTTAAATACATTGTATTGTACTAACTGATTTCTAACCGTTTAATAGAAATAAGGATTGCATTAGTAGTTCTGGTTGCCGATTGTTCTTCTTGGATTGTATATCTTCTTTTCGCAACTTCGTCTCCTGCCTGTTCCACTACTAAGACAGCAAGAAAGCAAGGCGTGAAACTCTGAAATGTACAGATCAAGACGGGCTGCCACATTAGCCCGTCTGTAGCAGAGAGCGCAATCCTAAGAGCACTTTCCTGGGAGCAAGCCCCACTGAACAGACCTTAGCCGAATTCAGAGAAGGCCTGCTTAGGATTGCGCTTCAATGCATAAATAACGATCATTTTGAAAGAACGAAAAAAGAACACCGCTTATGTAAAGAGATATAAATATAATGTAAGGACATATAAGTTGAACTGATATAATTTCGTTTAAACATTAGATGAGGACATATACAATTTATGTACTTTTTTTTGGTTGTAAGTAATACAGTTCTTCAATTAAAAATCTTTTTTTAAAAAAGGATTGCACTCTAACTATAGCTGTGCAAGAGAACAAATGCAGAGTCCAGTGGCACCTTTAAGACCAACAAAAGTTTACTCAAGGTACCAGCTTTCCTGTGCAAGGCACTATTTATGTGGAAATTATATAAGAAGAAAAAGAGGAGATTGGATTTATACCCCACCCTTCACTACCCAAGGAGTCTCAGAGCAGCTTACAAACTCCTTTCCCTTCCCCTCCCCACAACAGACACCCTGTGAGGTGGGTGGGGCTGAGAGAGCTCTTGACAGAAACTGCTCTTTTTCAAGAACAGCTCTTATCAGAACTACGGCTTGACCAAGGTCATCCATCAGCTGCAGGTGGAGGAGTGGGGAATCAAACCCAGTTCTCCCAGATTAGAGTCCGCGCACCTTACCACTACACCAAACTGGCTCTCTAAAAATGTTCCAAACAATGAGTCAGAGCCTTTGGATCTGTCCCGCTTAGGCTTGCTAATATCCAGGTGGTGGTTGGAAATTTCCTGGAATTAAAACTGACCTCCGGGTGACAAAGATCCGTTCGCCTGGAGGAAATGGCCACTTTCCTCTAAAGGATTCTGTGGCATCATATCCTGTTGAGGCCCCCTCCCCAGGCTCCGCCCCCAAAATCTCCACAAATTTCCCAACCCAGAGCTGGCGACTGTAGTTCGGCTAAAGGATCCCAAGTGAGATTCCAACCAGCTGCGCAGTGGTGGCCTCCCGGAGGCTCCTGCCCGGCGACCACACAGACCCTGCCAAGTCGTGAAGGGGCCCTTTCCCCACCGCCCCCGGTTCGACGCAGACGCGCCCTCCTCAGCCCTCCCCCGCACCCACCTGCCGGCCTTCCGGGGTCTGAGTCCGACTCTAGGGTTGCGCTGCTCATCTCCGTTTCAAAGCCGAAAAGCCAGCGCTGTCCGAAGACGTTTCCATGGTCATGTGGCCGGCATGACTAAACACCAAGGTGCACGGAACACTGTTATCTTCCCACCGAATTATTACCTATTTATCTACTTGCAATTTCTTGTTTTCTAACTGCTAGGTTGGCAGGAGCTGGAACTAGAGACGGGAGCTCACTCCGTCATGTGGCAACTCGGGTCTCGAACTGCTGAACTACTGACCTTC